AGGAAGACTGAAAGTTAATTTTCCATAAATAAAATTACCGTTATTTCTGGACAGCTGCCCATTTCAGTACATGAGCATCTCAACAAAGTCAGGGCTAGGGCAGACGGAAGAGAAAAAGAATTTGATTACATTTTCATGAGATTCAGAATCACAATTCCTGTCATCTAAAAAAATTATAATCAAGGGCATTCATCACAAGAAAGTAACACTTCCAAACAAGCAGGATTTTATTAATCAGTCTCTGCTAATTTAAGGGGCCATAAAAGAATTTATGCACACACACCACCTGTGGAAGATAATTCCACTATTGCTTTCCCACTAGGTTATGTGATTTATTAGTCAATTGCAGTGGAAATTCAAAATAAAAACTGGCTTTGGAAACAAGAAGCAGGAAAACACCTCTTCTTCTGCCCCTTTCCTGATATGTTTGGACTAGATCTGGTCAGGAAGTGATTTCTCCAACTTGCAGAAAAAGTGTTCAATTTTTTTTCATACCAAGAGAAATGAACATGTTTTGATATTTGGGTTGGGGGTGGGGTTATATGCATGATATTTCAACAAAAGCATACCGTTGTTGCAACATTTTCCATCAAAAAAGTGTTTCAACAGAAAATTTTGGACCAGCTCTGACTTTGATTGCTCTCGCCACTCCCTTGAATACAGACCACCTTGGCTGGCATAGAACCAGCACTGGCTCTGTGGCACAGTCTCCCCTACACCCCCTTCCTTGGACCACACAGGGCCCCCCAATAAAGCCAGGTCTCCATGGGATGTCAGGCAGCAGAGGCTGAGCTGGGGCTGGGAGGAGCCAGGGAGCAGCCACAGCCCATGGCATGCGAAGCTGGCTTCTATTCAAGCAGATTTCTGCATGCTGTTGCTGCAAAGTAGGGAGCGTGGGGTGTCTCTTCTCTCTCTAGGTTATCACCTGCTCCATGCATCTAGGCAGCTCATTTACATAGCTGTGGGTGGATGGTCACTCAGAGGCAGCATGGCACCTGCATAAACCCATCTTCCCTGAGACCGTGGGGCAAGAGGGCAGGGGAAGTAAGAGAGCCCAGAGCTTCTACAGGACTGATGTTTCCACTCATCACAAATCCTGGGAATGCTGACCTGATCCCTCCCTAGACGGGGAAGACTGGAACTGAACTCTGTGAGGTCATGGTTCCTCTGGCTCACTCCCATGGGTACTTCTGCTTGGGCACAATATCTCCCTGACTTCACCTGGGGCGGTCAGGAGAGGACAGTCTTCTCCACTACCAACAGCAACCAGTGATTCCAGGAGAACAGAGTCACCCAGAGAGCAGCAAGAAAGAAACTAACGTCAGACTGGGGCCTCCAGGAAAACAGACACAGTATTTTCAGCTTAAAAGGGAAAGATTCACACAAGGGAAGAAATCCAGCAGGCTGAGTTATTCCCGCCCCCACAAAAAGATTTACTTAGAAGGGGAGAAAAAGCAAATTCCTATTTCTCAGTGTTTACTTGGAGATGGCTGGAGTGGAATGAAAGTGCACAACCCTTCCCAACGCTTTGAACGCTCAGATGCTATCATAACCCCATGGTATTTCTCTACCAAAATAAACAACCAGGAGCAGCAAGGACTGGGGAAGATGGATACTTGAGCTGTCACACACTTCTCTACATGGCAGTAGATCATAGGAGGGAGATGGGAACTATCCTCCAGGGTGGGAATAACCTGCAAGCAGCACTAGCCAAAACTAAGCCGGAATGCAAAGCTAATTAATTCAATCAGAAAGTGATCTGGGTAATGGAGATTAATTCCCCGTGCCTTTAAAATGATCCTAATCTTCAGCAGTAATTCCCAGGTCTCTAAGACCATGACAGGTTGGAGACGGGAGCAAGTCAAAGCTATGTTCTAGTTGGTGCCAAGCCACATTCTGGACTGTGTACTTTTCACGTAATAAAAGCGGTATTGGAAGAGGTACGTTTTCAAATGGCAGCAAGGGCACAGCAAGGAGTCAGGAGACCTGGGCTCTAGTCCCAGCAGCCATCTCTTCAACTGCAGTCAACAGGAACTGTGGGTACTTGGTGCTTCTGAGAATGGGGTCCAAGGTGCCTCAAGCTGGGCACCCCAAGAACGGACATCCCCAAATTCAGAAGCCACTTTTAAAAATATAATTAAGTCTCTTTGTGCCGGAGTTTCCCCATATGTAAAATGAAACTAATACTGCTTTACCTACCTTTGTAAGGTGCTGTGAGCTCCATTAGTGAAAAGTGCACCATAAGTAGAGTATTTTACATACATTTACAGTAAAAGAGAACAAAGCAGTTCAGAGACTTTGGAAATGGCTTGGATGAGACATGCTCTGTACTTCAACATGCAGAATTGGGGGGAGGGGACACATGTAGTTAACCTTTGCATTCTAGCTCTTTGCTGTCGTTAGATGCTGCTGGAACTCATTTCTGACTTTTACCTCCCATTCTTCCCACTACTGCCAAGTTCTCCTGTCTTTCTAAAAACAACTTTGCCCATCCTCTGAAAAGTCAATGTGTCCCAACTCAGGCGGGTCTCCTGGCACCACCATCCTGGCAATACTGGTCAGATCAAAGCCACTCAGCACCCACAATCAGGGTGAGATTTGCAGATGATTATAGACCACTCAGCCTAACATCATTATCTGGAAAGATGTCGAAACAAGTTATTAAACAATACATTTGTAAGCACCTAGTGGATAACAGGGTTATAAGGAATAGCCAGTATGGATTTGTCACAAACAAATCATGCCAAACCAAACTAATTTCCTTCTTTGATAGGGTTACGGGCCTAATAGATAGGGGAGAAGCAGTAGATGTGATACACCTTGATTTTAGTAAGACTTTTGACACAGTGCCACATGACATTTTCATAAGCAAACTAGAGAAATGTGGTCTAGATGAACTTACTGTAAGGTTGGTGCAAAACTGGTTGAAAGACTGTAATCAAAGAGTAGTTATCAATGGGTTGCTGTCAAACTAGGAGAGTAAATCCAGTGTGGTCCCACAAGGGTCAGTCCTAGGCCTGGTACTAGTCAATATTTTCATTAATGATTTGGATAATGGAGTGGAGAGTATGCTTATATGATTTGTGGGGGACACCAAGCTGGGAGGGGTTGCAAGCACTTTGAAGGACAGGATTCGAATTCAAAACAGCTTTGACAAATTGGAGAATTGGTCTCAATTCCTCAAGATGAAATTTAATAAAGACAAGCACAAAGTACATCACTTAGGAAGGAAAAACTAAATGTACAACAAAATGGGGAATAACTGGCTAGGTAGTGGTACTGCTGAAAAGGATCTGGGGTTTATAGTGGATCACAAATTGAATCAGAATCAACAATGTGATGCAAAAAAGGCTAATATTCTGGGGTGTATTAACAGAAGTGTTGTATGTAAGACATAGGAGGTAATTGTCCTGCTCTACTTGGCACTGCCAAGGCCCCAGTTGGAGTACTGTGTCCAGTTCTGGGCACCACACTTTAAGAAAGATGTGGAGAAACTGGAGGGAGTCCAGAGAAGAGCAACAAAAATGATGAAAAGATTTAGAAAATATTTCCTGTGAGGAAAGGTTAAAAAACCTGGGCATGTTGTCTGTAGAAAAGACGATGGGGGAGGAGGACCTGATAACAGTCTTCAAATATGCTAACAGTTGTTATAAAGAAGATAGGGATCATTTGTTCTCCATGGCCTCTGAAGACAGGACAAGAAGTAATGGGATAAATCTGCAGCAAGGGAGATTTAAGTTAGACATTAGGAACAAGTTTCCAGCCATAAGGGTAGTTAAGCTCTGGAATAGGCTTCAAAGGGAGGTTGTAGAATCTCTGTCACTGCAGTTTTTTAAGAACAGGTTGGACAGACACCTACCAGGGATGGTCTAGGTCTGGGCCCTGTACAGCCCAGGGGGCTGGACTTGATGGCTTCTCAAGGTCCCTTCCAGCCCTACCTTTCTATGAGTCTATGATCTTAGCAAACTGGGTGCACGACAGACACTGAGCTGTTTTGAAAAATCTGGTCCCAGCTGCAGAACGGAGCATTTGAGAGATTGGCCCCCCTCCTCTTCGCCTGGGTCAGCCATACACACCCATCTGGGCAGGGGATCAGACAGCTCAGCAGAGATCCCAGTCACCCTCTCCCAGCAAGTGCACACAGGGACTCTCCCAGGGAGCCAATACCAGAGGATGAGATCAGGTGGAGCCCTCACAACTTTACAAATACAAACAATGCAGGTGTTTCCCCCTAACCAACCAAAGCAGCAGAGGTTTAGCTGTACCCTTTCCCTGCCATGCCCTATCCCTGTAGCCTCTACTCATCATGTTAAATCCAAGCAGAGAGCCATAGACCAAGGGTCCGGTATGTATAAAAAACAGTTATAACACGCTCAGCTGCCCTCTGCTCCCAGAGAGGGGGAGACTGCAAACTGGAAAGCGGGTGCACCCAGGTTGGAGATGGGCTCAGCCCCCTTATTCTCAGGTAGGGGTGCGGACAGGGTGGGGAGGGGAGACAACAGCTGCCCGCCCCGCCCCCGGGAAGAACGCACAGACTGGGGATGGGCTCAGTTCTCGGGAAGTGAGGAGAGGGGTTGCAAGGCAAAGGAGCACCCAAGGTGGGCAGCACGGGGGGGGGGGGTCGCAGCCCTACTGCCGGGTTGGGGCTGCACCCGGGATGGAGGGAGAGTAGCAGTCCCTTTTCTCAGGCTGCAGGGAATGTGTGAAAGGGAGGCACTAGTCCCTCCTGGGAGTGGGGAGGAGAGCTGCGGCTAGGCTGGGGAGCGCAAGGGGGTAGCCCCTAGTCCCGGGCGGGAGTGCCCCAGACCGGGGAGCGAGGGGGGCACCGGTCCGTGCCCGGGGGGATGCCCCAGACCGGGGAGCGAGGGGGGCACCGGTCCGTGCCCGGGGGGATGCCCCAGACCGGGGAGCGAGGGGGGCACCGGTCCGTGCCCGGGGGGATGCCCGAGACTGGGGAGCGAGGGGGACACCGGTCCCTGCGGAGGGCTCCGGGCACTCACCAAAGTAGACGGCCTTGGCGCACCGGGGGCACTTGGCTGCCATGCCGCGGGTCGCGCAGCCGGCGAGACGCGCTGCTGTGTGCGGGTCTCTCAGCTCCGCCCGGCCCAAGCTCCGCGCCGCACCGCCCACAGCCCAGCCCGCCAGCCCATTGGCCGCGCTGCCGAGCTGGGGGCGACTCCTCCCCGCGCGGCGCCGCTGAGACCCACGCGCGGGCCGGGCCCGCCAGCAGGTGCAGGGAGCAGACCCCCGCCGCCCAGGGCCCCCGCCCAGCTGCAGTAGGCGCCCGCCCATCACATGGGGCTGCGCTGTCTGCACCCCCCGAGCTGGGACCGGCTGGAGACACCGGCCCAGCACGAGCAGGGAGTTGACCCTGCTGCTGCGCATCTCTAGTCCCTGCCGAGCGCAGAGCCAGGGGTGGAAGCTAGGAGCCGCAGGGTTCCTCGGACCCTGGCCCAGAGCGAATTGCACCCCCGCCCGGGGCTGTCCGGTCCCAAACACCTGGGCAGAGCAGAGCAGGAGAGGGGCCCGCAGGTGTCCACTCCGCACCTTCCCCCCAGCCCAGCCACGCTGGCCCCACCTGAACAGGGAAGGCCAGTGCCCCTGGATGTGTAGACACGCCAGCCTCAAAGGCTGCAGGGAGTTACAGACACAAAACTGATGGCAAAGTAAGAGGCCCAAGTCCAGGAGAAAGGCATGTGTGATGGGAAGGCACTGACAGTGAGTCAGGGGGCACAGCGCTCCTGGCCAGCTGCGGAGGTGATGGTTCCCACCCCTGGGTGGCAGATGGCAGTGAAAGGGCAAAGAAGAGGATGGGGATAGGGGAGATGAGCAGGATTAGGTCCATACCTCTTTTCGAAATCAAAGGAAACAGGATTGTTCTCAAAACTACCTACAACAAATCTCATTGATCAGTTTGCTTAATTGCAACCTCTTTCCTCCCGGCAGAGCCGGGGCATGAGAGCTGAAGGAGATCTAACTACATGGAACATTCCAAAGGGAACTAACCATCCATTTTCAAACCAGGAGGAGGAGACAAGACACAGGGTGGGATTTTCCTGCTCCCATTCACATAAACGGGAGTTGAATACCCATGGAGAGCAGGATCAGGCTCCGTGTGTGTGCACATATTGCTTGTAAGGGTTTTGCCAATGCCTAAAACAGATCCGTTCTACATACATTCTTATGCCATACTCAGCACTATAGTAGCTGAGTGCCTTCCTGTAGTGCACCAGACTAGCATCTGTCATGGGTTTGTTCTCTCATCCTAGGGTTACCATCTTTTAGTTTTTAAAAAGGAGGACACTCCATGGGGACCCAACCCCGCCCGTTCCCCGCCCTCAGCCCTGCCCCAACTCTGCCCCCTCCCCTGAACGCTCTGCCCCCTGCTCCTCCCCCTCCCCTGCTTCCCGCGAATCAAATGTTCGCGGGAAGCCTGAAACAGGGAGGCAGCAGGTAGGCTGGGGCGGGGTGCGGCGCGGCTCAGTCCGGCCCTCCTGGCCGAGCGGCTCCCTTCAGCGGCCGGCCCAGGCCAAGAGGCTCTGGCCCCGGCGTCTCCCACCCGGC